TAGGCTTATTCATCACATTTTAAAAGTACATTTTTCTGTCTGTCTATTCTTGGCATAATTTTGAGAAACTTAGTTTTTTTTTTTCCTGATTGTAGACATTATATATGATCCTTGTAGAAAATCAAGAAATTGGAAAAGTGTAAAACAGAGAATGGAAACCACCCTATATAGTTAGATTCTGGGGTTTCACATGGGTTATAAAGTGCTGCTTCATCGTTTTTGCTTCTTTCCTTTGGTTTTAGAGGATCTGCTCAGATAATTTTTGTTTTTTGTTCTTAATGCTACTTAAAGGTCCTGTTTCTTTACTTATTTTATTTAAGTTTGATATAGTTTTAAACGATTCTGGTCTAATCATCAGTGTCTCGAATACTTAGGGTCAGAACGGAGAATTTAGCTCTTTTGAGCAATTGAGAAATGTAATTGACTCCTCACCAGCAGGGCGTACGTATTCTGTATAATATGTGACTCCTCTTCATAGAAGGTAGAAAAGCCTTCACTGCTGAAGGATCATGACCACATCCCTTTCAACTTGCCTGGTAGGTTGTCTTCTGGAGAGGACAGGGAGGGGTTGGTTAGACTGGTGATCCTTAGAGAAAGTCCTTTTTCCTTAGGTCAACTGCTTAGAGAATTCTAGATGATTGGAGAACGCCACTGCAAGGAAGAAGGTTTTTGTTACCTGGGCTCTCGGCTGAGACTGGAAAAATGCAAGACAACGAATCTTTGTGCAAATCTCTGCTTTTTTAGGTAGCTTGGGAAGAATTTGGCATGTGATTTGGAACGTCTGTAAAACAACTGGCTTCAGTATTTAAGGCAGGCAGGGGACGTCTGGTTGTGGTTTTCCCTGTAACATCTTGGCCATGCTTTGTTTTGGAATACGTCATTGCCCCCAATAATGCAGAATACGTTATGTCGGGTGACGAATTTCTTGCATTTTTTTATGTCCATGGACTAGACTTTGCTCAAGATTAGCTGTTTCAAGAGTAGCTGATGCAGTTTACCATCCAGAGGAACACAGTTCAGAAACTAAAGTGACAAGTATTTCCAAATTTCAAACTTTGCTTGCCTCTTTCACAGAACATTGAAAAGAGATTCAGTGTACATTTCTAGAAGTTCCAAGTAACATCTCTAAAAAGCCCCTCCCTTCTCTCCTGCCTCACATTTCCCGATCGCCTCTCCTCAAAGCTCGTTTTCACCCCTCTGATCCATGCCTTTCTGAAGTTCTAGTCACTTCTTCCCCTGCATTTCTTCACTCTTTAAATCACTTTAGCCCCACTGACTTCTTTTAGTTTTCTTTCTGAGAACTGCCAACCAAGGAGAGTCATGAACTAACCCAGCAACAGGAATCTGTCCATTTTGTGGGTGGGGCAATAGGTGTAGCTTCGGCAGAACCTGATGGGGAAGGATTGTGGCTACTTAGTTATTAATAATAATAGCCGGGTTTTTCTGGTTACACAGGCTTCAAGTATGCCCTGTAGTGCATGCCTGTTGCCTTGGCGACACTGTGTGTTCTTAAGAACAGTGGAATCACTACCATGAGTTCTGTAGAATTTGTCATGAGTATTTGTTCATTGAAAAACTGGGCATGTGGTGCGTGAACCTGGGCTGATCAGGACTGAATGGAATTGGAAGATAGTAGATCTTAAGATACCACCCCCAAACCCTGCTGTTGCAGATCTTGGCTGATAGCCTCTTATTCTTGCTGAGAAGCTGGTTGGGCGGGATGGACATGTGGTCTGGATGTTGCATTAGCCAGGTTGGCATTTAAATTTGCCAAAGAGTTTGAGGTATTGCAACATGTTAAAATATGTCCCTGTGGTAAATTTCAATGCTTTGATCTCCTGTAATTCTGCATGTTATTCCTGTTAACCGGCTTGACATCTTTTTATAGCCTTGTTGCATGTCCAGTTGCCTGCGGTGCTGAGCTGTGTTCTCTGTTGTGACGCCTGGTCCCAATCCCATAGAAGCTCACACTCAAAGCCACAAACTGTTTCCACTTTTATTAATAGAAGCTTAGGATTTTTCCCCAGGCAAATATGTTGGCTTGCTGTATAACTTTTCTTTTCTTTTGGTAGGGGATGAGTGGTTCTCTTGAAATATGGAGATGCTAAATTCTTGGAAAAATAACCCCTGGAGAGTTTTGAGTAAATGAAAGTTAGGTAGATGAGTGGCCTTTCTGTGACTGATAAGAAGGCATTTTTTGGGAAGCGTAGTTCTGTATGGCCTCGTTCCCAGCTCCTCTCAGATCTTGTTTCTTACATCTCCCTGTGTGACCGGCAGGCCCTAGCCACGCTGGCCTCCGCGATGCCTGCAACGTACCAGCCGTGCTTTTCTTTTTCTCCTCCGCTGGCAGTGCTCTTCCCCATTAATCTCCAAGGCTGGCTCCCTCACTCCCTTCGACTCCAAGGACATCCTTGGTGACCCATCTGTAATTTCACTCCCTCCCTTTGGCCCTTTGACAGTTCATATCCTGCTTCTCTGTTTTGTTTTTTTGTTTTTGTCCTCTTTTCCTTAGCACTTATTAATATCTAACACAATATACATGTTGCTTATTCCTCTTGTTGATTGTTCTCTCTGTCACTTAGAATAACCTTCCAGAGGGCATGGCAAGGCTCATTCCCACTGGTATCCCCAGTGCCTAGATTAGTGCCTAGACAGTCATCTAAATACGACAGCATCATATGAAGTGTGCAGTCAATAATGGCTGGGTAGTGGGCGGGAAGGAAGAAAGGTTATGAATAACTCCTGCTGGTGCCTCCCTGTCATAACTGTCCTCCCCTACATTTCAGACAACGTGGTGTAAGCTAGCCCACTCCCTGCACAGAACAGCCTGGGATTTTGGGGTGCATTTGGAGGCTCCCGGGTTCTGGCAGGCTGCAAGGTCGGTAACCAGAGGAAGCAAGCTCTTGTTAGTGTTTGGTGTGTAGAGGCATGTTCCATGACACTGTAAGCACCTCTCTCTCCACATGGTTCTACTATTTCATACATTTCCAAGAAGTTAACAGGTAGTAACAGAGGCAGCCTGATTGATTTCTGAGAGGGTACAGACAGAGCATATTTGCTGTGGGATAGGTAAATAGAATCTCTGGCACTGGGATTCCATTATCCTTTGCCCACCGATAAAAAGTGTATGACTTACTTATCATTTTAATCCCACACACAGCGTTAGCAGGGGCGATAGGTAAGGGGGTACGAGGTGAGGGACTTGTAAATAGTGATAAGAGGGTGGGAATGTAAAACTCGGCTTGGCAGGGGCTGCCTGGGGTTTTGCTGAGTCCTAGCAATACGTAATTAACTGTGCAAACATACTATTCAAGATAAGACTGTAACAGTTGCCTTGGGGAAAATTCTTTTGAGTCAATATTTGTTTGATCTTTTATATAGTATTTCGGCTCTGCTATTCATGCTCTAGCAAAGTTCCTATTATAAATGTTATTTTTCAGGGATTTGCTGTATTTGCACACCAGGTCAGTCCTGGAAGAGGTAAAGGATTGGAATCACTGTTTAAATAGAGGTTCTAAGGGGTTTCAAATGAGTCTTTAAAAGTGGAAGTCCTGTGTTTTAGTCAGTTGACAAATAATTATTTAAAAACCCGTGTTAAGTACTCAGGGGAATTCCAAAATACAGGGTAAGATCTTTGCCCTCAATTTGCTTGTAATCTAGCTGTAGAAATTAAGACTTTAATCGCTATATGTGATACAAGATATGTATACTAAATAATGATAATAATGACTGTTATTTATTGGATAATTAACAGCACCACACCTAGTGGTCCTCGTATTTTCTAAGCACGAACTGACTCCCTCGGTCCTCCCAGTAGCCGAATGAGGCAGGTTAGTGTGAAGTTTGTATGGAACAGACAGGCTGTGGGAGTCTGGAGAAAGAGGAGACTAGGGAAGCAGAGAGACGTGAAGAAAAACCTAAAGGAAGAGGTCTCTCAATCTAGGTCTTAAAGGTTGGGAAGCAGATGGCTGTGTGATGGGAAGAAGGAAAAGCGCATGATGGGCATTTGTTGTTTGCCCTTGTTATATATACCCTTTTGTCTCTCTGCAGAGTTGTTCTACCCGCCCTAGACTCTCAGCACACTCGCTTCTGGTGAAGGGGACAATAAACAAAAATGCAAGGAAAACATACAGAACGTCTGTGTGATAAGTGCTAGGAAGACGAATGAATACAGGAAAAGGAATGAATGCTGAGGTGGTGGAGGAGGGGATATGTGATTGAAAAAGGTGGCCAGGTGCATCTAGAGATGATTATGCTAAGTGAAGTCTGTCAGACAAAGACAAATGGCATATGCTTTCACTTATATGTGGAATCTTAAAAAAAATGAGACAAATGAACTTATTTACAAAACAGAAACAGACTCAGAAAACAAACTTATAGTTACCAAAGGACAAAGGATGGGGAGGGATAAATTGAAGTTTAGGATTAGCAGATACTAACTGCTGTATATAAAACAGATAACCAGGTCCTACTGTTTAAGCACAGAGAACTACATTCAATATCTTACAATAACCTATAATGAAAAGGAATATGAAAACGAATTATGTAACTGAACCATAATGCTATATGCCAGAAACGAATACAACATTGTAAATCAACTAAACTTCAATTAAAAAAAAAAACAGTAAAATGGTGGCCAGGGAAGGCTAATCAAGACCTTTGAGTGAAGGCTGAAGGAGGAGAGAAAAAGAGGTATGAAGGTACCTATGGGAAGAGCCTTCTAGGCAGAGGGAACAGCAAGTGCAAAGGCCCTGGGGTGGCACCTTACATGGTTTGTTTGAGGAACATCAGTGAGATCAGCAGGGCAGGAGGATAGTGAGCGGGGAGCAGAATGGTAGCAGGTGATGTATCTTTAGAGGAAATGCGTGCCCAGCTGCTGCTGGTTTTGATGATGATGGCGCTGGTGGTGATGTAGGAGGAGCTATTGACAGTTCTGAGTGAGTGGAGTTCGTGGAGTTGCAGTCTGGCAGCTGTATCTGCTTCTGCCAGCCCCGTGCAGCCGTGGCTCCTCTTGCTTCTCACTGGTGAGCCCAGCTCCGGAGCTCTCAGTTCCTGATCTCTTGCTGACGTGGGCAGAGGTGCTTTGGCAGCCTTGCATCCATCACCCGGCAGGTAGGAAACTATCGATATAGCTCAAGCCCTGGGTGAGAGCTGAGTGACAGCCTTGTCTCAAGCCTCGCGGTGTTTTCTTTGCCTGAAATTCTGAGTTTTTCCTTCGATTTTCTGCTTGGCTCTTGGTTCCTGCTGGAAGTGCAGCCCTGGTCTGAACGGCAGCCCTCTTGGCCGGGTCCTTGGCTCTGCCTGGTGTTTGCCATCCTCCCCGCCAAGCCCGTCCGCATGTTGCGGGAAGTCAGTGCTGGTTCTGGGCCGTATCTGTAGCTGTTGGGCTCTGTGTGCTGAGTAGAGAGTTAGGAAGAGCCTCTGTGCTACTGGGGCCTCCTCCCCCACCCCAGTGTTTTTGGTTCTCTTCCCACCACTGCCGCGTCTCCTTGAATAACAGAAACTAGAATTAGGTGCAGTGGCCTCTGCTTCTTGAGCCACACATGCTGGACCGTTGCCAAAAGTCCTTGGGGTAGGGCCGTGATGCGTGGGTTCCCTCCAGCCTGAGTTTGCCTGTTCCCAGTCCTTTACCTTCAGGGAGAGGAGGGAGACCCGGCCCAGGGGGCTGGCAGTGCGAATGGAGGGGGACAGAAGTGAGAAATCTGGAGAAAGAAGCCTCAACAGAACATGGTACAGTCTGCTCTATGGTGACTCAGTAAAAAGCAGAACCAAAACCAGCACTTAAGGGCGTAGGAATGAATCTTAATTCAGAAGTTGCAGATGCGACTAGCACTATCAGAGAGTTTTATAGCTGAGTCATGACCAAGTTATGTAAAGAAGAATGTGAATGCCTTGGAGACCCTGTGAGGGCACAGGTAGGGCTGGGTCAGTACAGGTTCGATTCAGATCAGGTGGTCGAGCTAATGTTTACTCTGTGGGTCAGCCGCCGGGTCACCTCTGTGAGGACACGCCTGTGCACACATACATGCACACACGTCCCCACCCATTCCGTCCTTTGGTTTCTGTTTTCAGTTGCTGCGACTTCTATGTAGATGTAAAGCACCGACTTAAATCCTGTTAATGGGAACAGTGATAGTGCAGAGAGGCCCAGTTATCCACCTTAGAGGTTGAGGGGGTAGAAAGTTCTCTGCAGTGAGAGCCTGACTTACTAGGGGTGCACCAAGCTTATTCAAATCTGCTGTGAATCAAGGGATGCTTTTGGGCCCTTCCTGGAGCTGGAGAAGACTAATGGGGTTGAAAAATGTTATTATAATAAAAATATAACATTGGCATGATCCAAGAAGGTGATTAAACTAAGGAATGTTCCCGCTTTGAAGAAAAACGCCAACTTCAGGTAAGTGGTCTCCCTGGGCCTCCTGCTTTTCCTGGGAAATGGATTAATCTGGGTTAACATTTAGCCAGCTTCCAGAATATCCTATGAAATGATTTAAAATTTTAAAGTACAATTTATTTTCTGAATAAGTAATTCACTCACGTGACTGAACATTTAAAAGCTGCAAAATATTCCGTGAAAACCCTCCCTTCCTTCCCTCCTTCTCCAGGAGGCCAGTTCTCTCCTCAAAACAACCCACGTTACCTGTTTCTGATCTATTTTGCTAATATACGATGGAATGGGCTCAACCTGTGCTAACAATATTAAGAACAAGGTGGCTTTTCTCTCTTTAAGGACCTTCTAGTTAATAAAACAAAAGTGAGCCAATCAATCATTTATAGCTGTATGGTGGAAACTTTTTTATGAGTCCAATAATTATAAAATTCATAGATACTGAAGTCCAAATATTTGCTACTCAGGTGTTTTGGTTCTCAGACTGGCAGCAGTAACAAGCTCCGGGAACTTGTTAGCAGAATCTCAGGTCCCACCCAGACCTCCTCAATCAGAATCAGCACTTCATAGATGCACAGGTGATTCTGAGGCATGAAGGCTGGAGAAGCCACTGCTGTGTCTCATTTTCCCAGCACTGGCCTCAGGCTGCGCAGTACTTGCAGGTCCATGTGGCGTGAAGAAAGGGAGAGACGGTCCTGGAGCATGGCTCCTCGCTTATTCCCAGGGTGCTGGTTTGTTGCTAAAGTTAAGTGATGATCTTTCCTTAATTTGCAGTCACAAATTAAGGTGCTATGTAAACTTTTTGTGATTTTGATTTTTAAATTCAGAAATCTTCCTCCTTCTCTCCTTCCATCTCTTCTCATGAATTGTTCTTAAACCTTTGGCACTTGCTGTCTGTTGCTTCCTTTTGGGACCATGCTGGTGCTAAGTATATAAGTTATAAGCAGATATTGATAAGAAAACATAGAAAAAGCCAAATAGTTTTAGGTCGACAACTTCTGGTCTGATTGATACATATATTTATGGTTGTGGTTTTATGTTATGTTTTGTAGTATGTTTGTACATTTTATTAAATTTCACATTTTTGAGCAATTTAGGTTTAATGTATGTGTTTGTGCTAATCTCAGTGTGATGGAACTAAATAGTTCGTGGGATTCTGGAAATAAAAGACTGAAATTCTTGAAAAGTTGTCAAACTTGGAGAAAAGAAGGAAACTTGTGTAAATGGAGGAATAGAGACAGCAATTATTGGAAGCCCTGATACATGAACCTGTAAACTGCTACAAATAATTTGAACATGACTCTGAGTTTGACTAGGAACCTGTGGAAAATTTTACAAAAAGGAAATTAGAAAGTAGGTCATAGGACTATATTAAGTTTTTTCCGTTGTTGTTAGATTCTTAAAAAGTAAATGTTTCTAATCACTAAAGGTTTTGCATTCCGTAAAACAGGTAAGATTAAACGTGTAATCCACATCATTTAAAAAACAATGCTAATGGAATACTTGTGTGAGTGTGTTATGGCAGGGTTGGAGCATGAGCGAAGTAGAAAGGAAAGCAAATATATCACAAAACCCTGCCCTCTTAAACGTGAGACAATTAAGCCTAGGAAATTGGGGCCAGTTTTACTACGGATGCAGGCAGGAGGCGGAAGGGAGGAAAAAGGCCAATGCAGGGGAGAAGATCCCAGAGAAGAATGGGGTGGGGGAAGAAAGGGTTTTGAATATGGTGAAATGTCAAGATTTAACACTGAAAGGAACGAGAGTCCTTTGGGCTGTGTGTTAGTGAAAACCTTAACGTTGTTTGATCTAGGTAATGACTCACATCTGGAGTAATTCTAACTGGGACTATTTTCAAGGGAATGCCTGGAATTGAAAAAAAACTTTGGCATAAAAAGTCTTTAAAGTGTAATTTACAGTGAAAATTGTAAGTGGATTGTCTAACAAGGGAGTGGATAAGTAAGTTGTAATACATCCACAAGATGGGATGTTCTACAGCTAAAATGATGATATGTTCTAAATAAGGTGTGAAGCAGGATAAGAACTGTTGGGAAAAATGACATGAAGGAATTTTGGTGGTGGTTGTATATATGTGATGGAATTAAAAAAAATTCTGGATCTAATAAATGACCTGTATAGTGAGCAGAATATTAACTGGAAAAAGTAGAGGAGAAATCCTTGCTCTGATTAAAATAAACCACCCCCCCAAGACCAAGGGTTGAAATGGACAGAAAACTTGGTTGCCTTTAAATAGCGGAGGAGATTATCATGAATGTTTTATATCTGAGATGTTCAAATTACTTTTAAAATTCCTTAGCAGTGTAGTGTCAAGGTTAAGATGTGCTGGGGTTGGAGCTGGTTATATGGGGAAGGGAGAGGAGGAAGGAACTCTTGGTAGGGAGAAGTAAAACATTCCTAACCTAGGGTATGCATAGTTTGCAGGCAGCCCTACCGTGAACTTGAGGCATTTGTGACTTGTGGAGATGACAATCAGTGAATGCCTTGGGCTATAGATGGCCAAGCTGTTGGCTGGCTGGAATGGACAGCCACAGATGACTTAGTGACCAGTGTTCTGTTAAATGCCACAGCACGCCCTGGCAGCTCATTTTTAATTGCCAGAAAGTTCCTTGCAACTTTGAAAAGATAAGGCAAAAAATCCCCCAGGGCCTGAGCAACCCCTAGTAATGTCTGCAGGAAACTTACCAGCCTTCCAGCAGCCCGGGGAGGCGAGGGCTTTGGTTTCTGGCATGGATTAAGTAGCCGTCTGGATATAACAGATTAACTGAAAAATTTGTTCCCTTTCTATTAGTAAACCATTGTATTTCTATACATTTTGATTTTTCTTAAAGACAACGTGACATGTAGGAAGAAGTGGTAATTATAATTTTAAAAAATTTCCCGAGGGCTCCATTGGAGCAGTTCCTCGAAGGATGTTTTTAAAGTGACTTGAAGGGAGTGGCTTTTAAGTTTTCCGTCCCTTTTCATGTATCTTACTCTTTAAAGTCGGTGAGCTGAATGTATCCACATGGACACATGCAATTATGATTACTCCGTTTTTGAGCTCATCTGTGCCACCGTGAAAGATGAACAGCACTGACACAGTGTGTGAGCTCCTGTCCTTGAAGGGCTGGGCATTTTTTAGTGGGTAAAATGCAAATTTAATAATGTAATAACTGAAGTGAATCACACTGGCATCTAGCTTTCAATTTGTCATTTGGCTGAAGGTGATTTGATGTTTTTGAGAAGGATGGTGTGTTGGAATCTCATCAAGTCCCAGTCGGGTAGCTTTGGGCTAAAACTGAGTTGTTGCTCCTTGAAGCAGGGGCTGCTGCTTCATGAAGAGTAGACTGTTAAAAAGGCTGCTTCTGATCTAAACAAATGTCTCTCCAAAGAAGATGTACAGCTGACCAATGGGCACGTGGAAAGGTGCTTAACTTCACTAATTATTAGAGAAATGCAAATCAAAACAACAACGAGGTATCACTTCACACTGGTCAGAATGGCCATCATTAAAAAGCCTACAAATAATAAATGCTGGAGAGGGTGTGGAGAAAAGGGAACTCTTACGCTTTTGGTGGAAATGATAAATTGGTTGCAGCCATTATGGAAAACAGTATGGAGGTGCCTTAAATTAAAACTAGCATTGCCATATGATCCAACAATCCCACTCCTGGGAGTATATCCAGAGATAACTCTAATTCAGGAAGATACATGTATCCCAGTGTTCATA